AGAGTGGCTGGTGATGCCCCAAGGGCTGTCAAATGCACCAGCAACATTCAATCGTCTTGTGACGCAGTTTTTCAGGCCCCACAGGGCGTATGCACAGACATACTTTGACGACATTTTCGCTCACAGTCGTAAGGAGCACGGGAGGACAGATTAGAAGAAACACATCGCCTATCTAAGAGCGGTGCGCGTGTGCATGCGCACCAACAAACTGTACGCCAACGCAGGCAAGTTCATCTTTGGCGCAGAAGAGATTTCCTTTTAGGGTGCTTCATTGGGAAGCGCGGCCTTCGAGCGGATCCCGCTAAGGTCAAGGCCATTGTCGATTGGCCGGTTCCAAAGAAACAGAACGACTTGCGTAAGCGGCTTGGTCTTGCCAATTACTTGCACAAGTACAGCGTAAACTACGCAGAAATGGCCGGGCCATTATACAATCTTCTTACAAAGGATGCGGAATGGTATTGAAACACCGAACACCAGGAAGCATTTGACGGGGTCAAAGACAGCCAATACTGGCGCGACCAGACCCTGATCGTCCTTTCAGCGTCGTATGTGACGCTTCGGACTTTGCATTAGGCTGTGCACTGCTGCAGACGCCGAGGTGCGAGATCGGGCGATCGCGTTCAAATCTAGACAGATCAAAGCTGCAGAGAAGAACTACCCAGTTCATGACAAGGAGCTACTTGCGATAAAGTATGCACTTGTCAGTTCAGAGTCCACCTGCTCGGCTCCAAGCCATTTGTGGCCTACACAGATCATGCGTCATTGCGCACTGCGACTCAGTCGCCCCACCTCTCGCGGAGGATGGCTAGATGACTTTCCCTCTTTGCAGACGATAACTTCGAGGTGAAGTATAAGCCGGGAAAGCAGACTGCTTTGGCTGACGCGTTGTCACGCAGACCAGACTATGAGCTTGCTCATATTACAACTGTAGCGTCGTCTGTGACAGATTTGATCCACACCGCGTATTCGGGTGATGGGTGTTGCTACGGGTTCTAGGAAGCAAGGAGTTTGAAAACTCGGACAAGAGATTGTCATCACGAATGCGTGCACGATTGCACCGATATTCGTTGAATATGTGGGTTGCTATATTATAGCACCCATTCAACGGATACACCACAAATTGGGGTTCCTCATGGTGAGGATATGAGATACCGCATCCCCTATGAGGCTCATGACACGCCACTCAGAGGTCATCTCGATCGTGAGAGAATGTACAACTCTGTGAGTCACCACTATTGGTGGCCCAAGTTGTACAAATGGACGAGC